TGTCTCTGGGGACACCTCTGCAAGTCCACCGGGGAGTGAGCCTGACAGATTAGTGACTGCTGAGCTGTGGCCCCCGCCTCATCCCCACAGCTCAAAGCCCCCTCCTCAGCTCCTGTGAGGAGCAGCAGTGAGTAATAGGAAGTCAAAACCAGTTTTTCTGTGTGGGGTTTCTGTGTGTGCTACCCACTGTCCCTATATGGAAGGCCAGTGAGAGTCCAGTGGGGGAAGCGTGGGCATCCTCTCTCTCCTGGTCTCCCTGAGCCCCCATGTCGCCCTTCACCTTAGGCCCATCATTCTCTGAAACACCCTGTGATGACAAACACCACAGACACAACATCAGACTGGCAGAAGAGATGGCCTGAGAAGGCCAGGGTGGGTTTGCCCCAGGCGGCCTCTGTGTAAGGCTGGTCTCTCCTGGCAGAGGGATGATGCCTCCCTGGCCTCCCCCTTCACAAGAGTAAATTTCTGTTTACACCACACTCTGCAATTAGAGAGCTCTGCAGACGTTGTTAATACTCATTGGCTAGTAGGTCGGCCCGCATACTACTGAGGGGAATGACTGTCCCCATTTATAGATGAGGAAACTGGGATTCAAAGAGAGAAATGAGTTAGTGGCCCCTGGTTGGTAAAGGTCTACCTGGGCACAGCTTCCTGTCTGGAACTGCACATCAACCTGTTCAGAGGATGGTCACCTCGAGGAGAGAGCAAGAGAGTGACAGGAACTATACTGGCAGGCACTGGGAGAATGGCTGGAGGAAGCCTTGGGGACAAGAGCCCTCCCAGCCAGAGCCACCTATCAACTCTCACGGGCAACCTCTGTCCCCTACCACTATGGAAGTCCAGTGTGCCTTGGTGTCCTCAGAGCCTTGGTCAACTCTCAGCAGCCTCAGAGCACCACCTCTGTGTCCCCCCCACCCCCTTATTGGTCCCCTCCAAAGTAGCCGAGGTGTTTGGGATTAAATGCTCTCAACAAATATGTATTGAGTTCCTGCCCATTTTGTGCACTGAGAACCAAGCAGGAACAGAACCTCACCTGAGCATGGGGAGATTGCTAACCAAGGAACAAATATACGCTTTTAATATGTCAGGGCTGAGGGGTACTAAAGAGAAGAGTAAACATGATGAGGGGTCAGAGAGTATGCAAGTCTTGGGGGTGGGTTACTATGTTAAATGAGCTGTCGGGGAGGCATTTCTGTGGAGGTCACATTTGAGCAGAAACCTGAAGGGATTGAAGGGAAAGCCATGCAGATAGTGGGGTGGGGTCATTCTGGGAAGAAGGCACAACCAGTGCAAAGGTCCTGAGACAGAGTATGCCTGGCAGGGCTGAGAAATAAGAAGGAGACCAGGGCCTCAGCAAGGGGGAGAATGGAAGGAAGTAGAGTCAGGGGAGGTTACACAGGGTCTGCGGGGGTCCCTTAAAGATTCTGGTACAGCCCTGCTGGTGTGGCTCAGTGGCTGAGCATCTACCCAGGAACCAAGAAGTTGCGGGTTCGATTCCCAGTCAGGGCACATGTCCCGGTTGCAGGCTGGATCCCCAATAAGGGGCATGCAGGAGGCAGCCAATCAATGATGTTTCTCTCTCATGGATGTTTCTCTCTATATATACCTTTCCCTTCCTCTCTCTCTAAAAAATCAATGAGAACTTTTTTTTTTAAAGATTCTGGTACAAAATGCAGCTGTGAGCTCTCGCAGCAAAACTGTGGCAGAAATTCCTGGAAGCTGGGCAAGACAAAAGCAACAGGTTCTTTTCTTTTCTTTTCTTTTCTTTTCTTTTCTTTTCTTTTCTTTTCTTTTCTTTTCTTTTCTTTTTTTCCTGGATTTTTTTCCCTGTTATCCTGGGCCACAGAAACAATGAGATCATTTTCTCCCCTCCTCTTCCCTCCTCTCCTTCCTTCTTCTCTTTCTTTCCCTTCTCCCTCCTCCCCCCTCTCCAAACCTGCCCCTGACCTTGTCCCGAGCTGGCTTGCCTGCATGCAGCTAGACAGCGGCGGCATCCCAGTTGCAGACAGGCACAGGCGGAGGACAAGGCCAGAGAAGGGACAGGAGGAAAGAGGCCCCCAGAGAGGCAAGCTGCAGCACGAGGGACGACGTCATGGGGGCCTCTGACCGCTATTCATTTCAGTCCCCCATGTGTCTCCATCAGTAATCGTCTGCCATGGCCGGGAGGGAGAAACAAGGAGGCTGGAGGAGTGGGGATCTGGGGTCCGGATGGGGAGGGACGAGACGGAGGGGGAGAGAGGCTCCTTGGCACTCACAGTTCCTCCCAGCCTGGAGCAGGAGCTGGAGGTTGGAAGGGCCGAGAGCCCATTGGCTGCCGAGAGTTCCTGTCTCCCAGCTTTCCCTCCCTGCTTCCTTCCTCCCACTTCTATGTCCCTCTCACACATAAATTCCCTTCCAAAATCCTCTCTGAAGCTAGGAAGGGAAAGGAGGCAGGATTAATTTCTACACTGGAAGAGGAACGAAGGGGTTTCACTGGGTGGTAGAGGGGTCAGGAACTGGAGAGGACATTGGGAGCACTCTGCGCCTGGGGAAATAAGAAGCCAGACCAAGCCTGATGACAAGGAGTGGCACTGGCACCAGACCGGCACCATCAGCCCACAGGCCTCATGATAAACGGGGGCCTCCAGTCCTAGCACAGAACCTGGCACACAGTGGGACTCAGGAAATATGATAAATAGCCATAAGAATGACCAAATGGTCAGATGTGGACAGTTAAGGAAGGAGGTTGACTTGAGATGGACTAAACCAGTCAAGGAGGGCTGCCTGGAGGAGGGGAGCCTCGATCAGATTCTTGAAAAATGGATGGGATTGGTAGAGGTGAAAATGAGGAGAGAAGCATACCAAGTGAGGAGACTATGAGAGCAAAGGAAAC